TTATAGAAACAGATATATAGAAACAGAGATAGAGAGAGAGAGATGGAAACAGAGATAGAGAGATATATAGAAACAGAGAGAGAGAGAGAGAGATAGAAACAGAAATAGAGAGATGGATAAAAGCAGAGATATATATATTCTAGAAACAGAGATAGAGAAATATATAGAAACAGAGATAGATAGAGAGATAGAAACAGAGAGAGAGATAGAAACACAGAGAGAGAGAGAGAAATATATATATATAGAAACAGAAATTGGCAGATATATAGAAATAGAGAGATAGAAACAGAAATAGAGAGATAGAAACAGAGAGAGAGAAACAGAGATAGAGAGATAGTCGATTGGAAGATAGATAGATAGATAGATAGATAGATAGATAGATAGATAGATATTATGAAGTGGACTAAACCTGAAAATCATTTTAATATATTTTCTGTTTATTTATTCGTTATTTTTATAGATACAATTATTTGAGTAAATTCTCCGCTTATAATAAACAGTATTAATTACATTTACCGGCCCGAATATCCGAGAAATTTCGTAGAAAATATGTCCTCCAACAGGAATCGAACAGCATCCTACACGAAACCGTATATAGATAGATAGACCGATAGATAGAGAGAAAGATTGAGATAGAGAGATATAGAGATTGATAGAGACAGAGAGATAGGTAGATAGATATAGAAGGATAGAGTGATAGATAGAAACAGAGACAGAGCGATAAGAACAAAAACAAAGAGATAGATAGAGAGACATAGAAACAGAGATAGAGTATGATATATAAGCATATATATATATATATATATATATATATAGAGAGAGAGAGAGAGGGGGAGGGGGGAGAGAGAGAGATAAATAGATTCGGAATCAGCGTACTCGATTAGTTTGGATTGTAAACACTTTGTTGCTGATATTATCAAACTGAAAACCAATGCCTTTCAAGACTAAAACGCTAACTACTGCAGAAACATAAACGCCCCTCTTCTGATTGTGCTTATGAACAAAAAATATAATTGACTTTTTCAGAACTGACCACAAAAGCAAAGAAGCTTTCCTGGTGTCAGCGGTTTCCAAATAATGTTTCTTTGTCAAGTAGAATAGAAAGGCGATCGTAAACATTTCCCAAACTATTCAGAACAAATTTAGAATGATGATATCATTAACCCTTAAAGGGCGAGAAAACGTTGCACGAACGTGCCTGACAAATCTGTAAAAAGCGAGAAAAATTTTTTTAAAGGGTACGACTAACCATTCACCTAACTGAAAGAGAACTTAGAAAATTTGACACGCGCAGAACATATCTAAGTGTCCAGAGGAAAGCAGTGCATACCTTACCTAACGAGCTTGGGTAAAGAGTTGCCAGAACAGGGTATAGATAATAAAAAGACAAAATTTACCAAGAGCTACAAATGACAGGAAATTGTGGAGAGGCATGATCGCATAAGTTCTGAAGGGACACGGTAAATAGAAGACTGTGTAAATGTTGGTAGAACAGGGATTAGGAATGATAGCAGAAAGACAAACTTTACTTAGAGTTAAAAAGAATAGGAAGTTGTGGAGATCCATGATCTTTCATTTCTTGAAGTGACACGGCAGACGGAGTGGGAACTTGTGTAAATGGTTGATAGAACAGGGTTTAGGAGAAATAGCAAAGTGACGAATTTTAATAAGAGCTACAAAGGGCAGGAAATAGTGGAGAACCATGATCATCCACGTTCTGAAGAGACACAGTAAATAGAAGAGGATTGTGAAAATGCTTGGCAAAACAGGGACTAGGAAAGACAGTAAAAAGACGAACTTTACTAAGAGCTAAAAAGTGCAGCAAACAGTGGAGAACCATGATCGCCCACGTCCTGAAGGGATAAGCCAGGTAGAATAAGAAGAATATTGCATGGGACATCATCTTTTTGCATCTTCTCAAACAAACAAAAATCTTGTTAATTCTTAAACAACGAGAAAAGTTTTTATGAATATGCACCAAACGGGTAAAAAAAAAAAGAAAAATTCATTTTTTAAAAGGGTATTTTTTATATTTATTTTTCTTTTAATTACATACAAAAATGAAAAACAATGATATTTTAACCTTTTATATTCTCTCGAGACAAGAAGAATTATAATTAATCTATATTCGTTTGTCACGTCAATGGAGCAGAGCTTTATATACTGTGAGCCTTGAGTTATTATCAAGTATTATAGACATTATTTTATCCTGTTGCTAGGACTGAGAATGCGCCGACGGCGTCCCTTGCATAGAAACGTAAGACCGGATCCAAATGGACCACCTACTAAGTAGATAGCATGTAGAGTCTAATATCAACAGCCAATATTAAGCCTATCTCCGAACCAAGTAAATTCTTACAGACTCTGATATAATCGGATAATATGAACCCTCCAGAATCAAGTAAATGCTTACTGATTCAAATATAAACAACCAATCCCAGTGCTTTGTTTTTTTTTGTTTGTTTGTTTTTTTATTTCGTGTGCGAATGCAAGTTAACGGAGTCATACGCTGACGTTCGATCCGAACAAAGGCGCGTGGTGAAGATAGGAAGAGCATCTTTTTAGAATTCTTAGTTGAGCTTGTCGCTTTTTAGTAATTGAAAACAAACAGTATTTTCGGAGCATCTTTCGTGTATTCTGAATTGACATCATAGTTCATTTGAATTAAAATTAATCCTCTAAAACAAACTTACATTTTATCCCCAAACCAAGTAAATGCGTATGGGCTCAAATATAAATAGCCAATATTTACCTATACCCAAACAAAATGCGTATAGACTCAAATATAAACATCTAATATTTACCTATCATCAAACCAAGTAAATGCGTATAGACTCTATATTTGAGTCAATATTGAACAACCAATATTTATTATCCCTGAACCAAGTAAATGCTTATAGACTCAAATATAAACAACCAATATTTATCTCTTCCCAAAACCAAGTAAATGCGTAGAGACACAAATATAAATGATCAATATTTATCCCTTCCCATAACAAGTAAATGTTTACAGACGCAAATGTGAACAACTAATATTTATCTAACTAAGTAATATTAGTCATGTAAATGTCAGTCTATTAGTATTTACTTGGTTCGGGTTAGGTAAATATTGGTTTGGGCTCTACAATAACAAAGACTGATTTCGATATTATATAATGCACAAAATGTTGACATATAGTAAAATGAAATTAAAATTAATTTCAAAATTAACACAAATATTATACGTTCACCTATCGCCCGGTTCACACTCCTTCCCGTCTTTTGAACAAGAGTAGATTTTTATCCCTTCACCTAATGTCTTCTCATTTTCTTTCACTTTCAGTAACGCCTTGCATATTAGTAGCTTTACGGCCTTACTTAGGATTAAATGATATTTTTTTAAAGTGAAAAGTTGACAGTAGTTTTCAAAAATATTCAATTAAGTAAAAACAATGCTTGATTAGAAAAAAAGAAAGTAATAAATTAACTGTACTATTAGATTTTGCATAAAAAATGTAAGTTTGTTTTAGAGGATTAATTTTAATTCAAATGAACTATGATGTCAATTTAGAATACACGAAAGATGCTCCGAAAATACTGTTTGTTTTCAATTACTAAAAAGCGACAAGCTCAACTAAGAATTCTAAAACGATGCTCTTCCTATCTTCACCACGCGCCTTTGTTCGGATCGAACGTCAGCGTATGACTCCGTTAACTTGCATTCGCACACGAAATCAAAAAAAAAAAAAACATTGCATGATGTCAGTGTCCTTTCAACTAAAGCATTTTGCCCATCACTTCGACTTGCATATTATAGCTATTAATCAAAGGAGAACCTGACATCACATTGAGAATTCCTGCTGTAATGAAAAAGATTCGTTTTTGCCTATGTGAACCATGAACACTACCCATAGACATATCAGAAATGCCATAATCACGGGGATGGCGCTTTGGAACCATTAATAATTAAAATTAACGGCGTGTATCTGAAACTACAAAATTAAAGGTCGCCGATGAGGTAGTTAACTGGGGAAAAAATGGCTTTAATTGTCCAAGAGGATAATGTTTGCTTTTGATCAGCATGACTAATGCTAACCTCCAGGACATGAAGTAAAAAGATTATATTGAATAAATTGTAAGGTCAGCTGCTAGGAAAGTTGGTTCATCGTGTCGTGTTAGACAATTTTTCTCGCCAGAATCTATCTTACATATCTATAAGTCTAATATTCGTCCATGCTTGCTGTCACATATGGTCTGGTGCACCTGCTATGTATTTAGAGATTCTGTTGTAACCGGGAACTAAGGAAACGGAAGCACCGTTTCAGCCATTGTTCAGACAAAGGTGTACCGTGTCGGCCATATTGTGAATGGGCGAATAAAAAGCTAGAGTATCGCTTCTGCCAACAGAAACAAGTAACTAGTCTAACCTGTGTTTATAAAATCCAAAGAAGAATCTACAATGCTATTGTCCCTGATCTGGCATCTCGGTTTCAGTCACTTTCCCATCGCCGTATTGTAGCTTCCCTGTGTCTTTTCTATAAATATTTCCGTCGAAATTGTTCTGATGAGCTTTCTTCTATGGTACTTAGACTATGAATTTGATTGCAATACTAGATTCGCGGCAAGGTCTCTTCATTTTACAGTTGAAATGACAAGATGTAACTAAGTTCTATGCTAACGCACTTTTCACTTGTGAAACTCTCTTCCGGCTTCTTGTTTTCCAGTCAACTTTGATCTTCAAAATTTTACATATTTACAATATCAATCGTTAGCTTCTTTTTTTTTTAACTCATATTCTTTTATTGTTTATGTCTCTTTTTTTTTTTTTTCATAATCGCTCACGTACCCCTTGTATCATAGAGGCTTTATTGCCTTGGTTGTGGTGAAAAGATTGGTCTTTATAATGTACATGTAATATCGCGGTCGCTTTCTTTGTTGCAGGTACGACAAAAATTGAAATAAAAGGCAAGACACGAAAAGTGCGTGTGAAATGAATAAACCTTTTAATCCATCTTATCGTATGAAAAAAAGACTAGCGAGTCGTCTTGTTTCCTGGCTTCACGGAGTGTGGCTATCGTCTTGTGGGATTTTTCCCATACTGATTTTTCTCTCTCTCTCTCTCTCTCTCTCTCTCTCTCTCTCTCTCTCAAGCGATTGTCAGAAAACAAACTGACATGTCAAAAACAAAGAACTAAAACCATTCCCGACCCCTAACGCGATAGTATTTATAAATACCACAGTGGTGTTGGCATTCTTTTGGCATGGATTTCGACCCGAGATGAAGATCTTTACTTGCTTGCATTTTATCTCTTAGTTTCTCTCGCTTTCATTCTCTCTCTTTATTTCTTTCGTTCTTTTTCCTTTCTTTCTTTCTTTCTTTCTTTCTTTCTTTCTTTCTTTCTTTCTTTCGTTAATCCAAGTCAAAAGCTAATGCTTATAATTTCAAAGTACGGAAGCCTTGTCACGAGTCTCTTAGCCAATTAGGATCGAATGTGCACAATATGTTCTGTACCATAGTAGCAGGTTGTATGTCTTGGGCAAGAAAACCTGACAGAACTCATCCCTCTCCAGAGCTGTTTTGAATTCAAAATTTTCTTTGCGAAAGAAAGCAAGAGAGCGCAGCCATTTCTACTATTTAACCTATAGCTTGCAGTGAAGGAAAGACGAGACGGGTATTTGAGCGCAAGTGATCAGAACGAATCCATACTGGAATTCGAACACAACTCGCCTATTTCTCCTATTGTTTCGTTAACCGTTAGACCAACCGCGTATCTACG